AATAACATTATAAAATCAATTAATATCAACGATAGTATGATACAAATATGATATTATAGATGAGCTCTTACTGATGCAATATGGGTTTCCATCGCTAAAAAATGTTTGCTAATCTCGAGGTTAAAAAATTATGATGAAATCTTCAAGCTTATGAAAAATAAAACTTAAGTAAATATGATTAAAGAACGCAAAAAGCATAACTGTAAAGTAATTTCAACATAAAAATGTGTTTGAGTCTAATAATCCAAACACGTTTGTGGAAAAAATGTCAAATTTGACGTTTAACCGCGCGAATATCTTCTGGAAAGAAAAAAAAATGTCAACCCTCGTCTCATTTCCAGTCTTCTGTATTTCGATAATTTTTAGCAGCAACAAAATGTTTTCCTATCGCCGTCTTTCACGATCGAACCACGTCGTTATTTCTTCCTACGTCGACATGATCACTACACGCATACGAATCGTAAGAGACGCGTGTAACCAGGTGCTGTCAAGAGATTACTCTCTCTCTCTCTCTCTCTCTGATCTTCACCCTCTCTCTCCCTTTCTATAGGTCGCTATTTACGACCGCTTTAATCCGAGAATATCCAGTTTTTTTTCTCCCAGGCTATAGAGAGATGACGATCCATCGATCATCGACCGACATAGCGCGATATCGGTTTTTCGCGAGTAGCTCGTCGTCATCAGGTATATTCGAGTGTACCTAAACGCACGACACGATCATCATTCGTCGTTGGGATAACTTTTCGCGCGCAAACTTCTCGAACGTACACCCGACGACACAAAATTCCCGACAGGTAGCCTTCGCACAACGAACGCGGTTTTATCGCCAACCGGTTTTTTTATAGTATAATATACGTATCGACTAACGGATGTTTGCGCGGAGGTTTACACCGATTCTCGGGCGGTAAGTAACATATAATTATACTTAGGGAGGAATCCTTTCGCTTGTATTAACGCGATCTGGGGCGAGTTCGAGTTAATTATTTTTTTCAGTCGACGTTTGTTATCTCTCTGTCTCTCTTTGCCTTTCCCCCAAAGTATCCATAAATATTAATCCGATTCGTATACGCAAATGATACAATTTTAGGTTTAACGAAACTGGCTGGCGTGCGAGGAATGATAAGAACTGCCCCGAACGACATGCGAAACTTTCGTATAAAAGGAAAAAAATATTTCGTTTAGATACGCAAACCTCACAGAGCTCTTTGCTTAATTCTGCGATCTTGATGTCTGCGTTTAATCGTGAGAGTGATTGATCAAGGTATATTCGTAACGAAATGTAATTTACACGGTGTACGAATAATTAATGCTTTAGTCGCTGTCTGCTGGATATCATATGTAGATTATAAAAAGAATGCAATGTAACTTTTCTTGTATCTCTTATAATTAATTTTCGATAACACATTTTTGACTAGACTATATTTAATTTTTTCACGTATAAATACCAGTTATAGTTTCTCAATAATAAAATTGTTACAGAAATAATCGTCAAGCCGTGAAAAGTGAACATAGTAAAAAAATGAGGTTAATTTTAATTTAATAACAATCGGTTTTTTAAATATACTGTATAATTTTTCTTGTATCTTTTTATCAATTTTAAATAACACATTTTTATCTAGACAATATTTAGTTGTTTTATACATAAATATATATGGTACAAATATTAATTATAAATTTAATAAAATTGTTTCGAATTAATAGTTGTTAAATCGTGGAAAGTAAAAATAATAAAAAAGGATAGAATTGATTTCATTTTAATAACGATCGTTTCTAACTAGACAATATTTAAATTATTTTACATATAAATATATATGCTAAAAATATTAATTATAATTGTGATAATAAAATTGTTACGGAATAATAGTCGTCAAGTCTGGAAATAAAAATAATAAAAAATTAAGGTTCATTTTATTCAAACAATTTTATTTTTTAAATACGCAATCTTCCTATATTCTATCCCTGCATAATAAATCTCATAAAAAATACAAGGTTTCATTTGCGATGAGAAAAAAAAACGCCACGGAGCACGACTGCGCGACACCTCGTAGAGGTGATATAGAGGTCGTCGCTTTGGTTTGCACGGTTGCGGCCGGCGGAGCTTCTCGATGCGATCGCATCCAGTAACTCCTGGCCGACTCCGCCGCGCCTGGCTTCCTCTCTCGGAGACTAGGGCTGAATTATGACCCGTAGTCGCGGACACTCGCCAACACGCTTCGTCGTTTAACCCTTTGCTCGATCCGGAGTCCCGGAGCACATTCTTGCCATTGCCGGCTTTTCCCTCGAACTCCCCGGAATCTTACGATTTCTGAGAGCAAGAGAGAAAGAGAGAATGGCCGATGTATGGTTATGCGAAGAGACCGGTTCTTACGTTCTTAAGCGAATGTCGATCGTATTTTTTTTAAATCGAAGGTTTTTCTATTTTCTCCATAAAATTACGCTTTCGTCAACGATAAAAGTTTTTCCTTGTTTGTGATCTGATGAACGACAGATGTAATAATCTCAAAATTAAATAATAGGCAATATTACTTAATCTGCAGCCAGTCATATAATTCGCAGAATCTGAATTTTTCGTATTTTACTGGCTGTAAAACAGTAGTTGTATATTATTTAGCTTTGTTCAGCGGGTCATAAGTTACACAAATGTAATAGGCTCAAAGCTAAATGAAATTAAACCAGTCAAACACGAAAAACTCGGATTTTACGAATTATTTAACTGGTTGTAGCTTAATAACTAGCCATTATTTAGCTTTGAGGCTGTTACATTTTTTGTTCAGCAGATCATAAGCTACACCATATGAGGAAACCAGCTGATTTTATCAATATGCAATTGTATATAGGATTAGTGCGGGGTTTTTGAACCTATATATGAAATTGAATCCTTATAAAATCAGTTGATTTTCTTGTCTGTTGTAACTTATAACCTGCTGAACAAAAATGTAATAGACTCAAAGCTAAACGATTAAATCAGTCAAACACGAAAAACTCGGATTTTACGAATTGTTTAACTGGTTGTAGTTTAATAACTATCCATTATTTAGCTTTGAGGCTAGTACATTTTCTGTTCAGCAGATCATAAGTTACATTATATGAGGAAACCAGCCGATTTTATCAATATGCAATTGTATATAGGATTAGTGCGAGGCTTTTGAACTATATATGAAATCTTAGATAAAATTGAATTCTTATAAAATCAGTTTATTTTTTTCGTCTATTGTAATAAAAATGTAATAGGCTCACAGTTAAATGATCAAATCAGTTAAACACGAAAAACTCGAACTTTACAAATTGTTTAACTGGTTGTAGCTTAGTAACTATTCATTATTTAGCTTTGAGGCTATCGTATCTTTTGTTCCGCAGATTATAAGCTACAACATATGAGAAAACCAGCTGATTTTACCAATATTCAATTATATATAGGATTAGTGCGGGGTTTTTGAACCTATATGAAATCCTAGATGAAATTGAATCCTTTAAAATCAGTTGATTTTCTCGTCTGTTGTAACTTATGACCTGCTGAACAAAAATGTAATAGGCTCAAGGCTAAATGATTACACCAGTCAAACATGAAAAATTCGGTTTTTGCGAATTGTTTATTAACTAGTTGTAATTTAATAACTATCCATTATTTAACTTTAAGGTTACCGTATCGTTTGTTTAGCAGTTCATAAGTAATATATGAAAAAATATCAGCCAATTATATCGAAATCCAATTTCCATATCGATTGTGCGGGGTTCTTATGCGCTCTTCTTTTTCTTAATTAGAAATTCTCTAATGGGGCTACTTTGTTATATTTCATAGCTTTATCGCCGACCGAAATGCCCCGTGCTTCTCGAATCGAAACGCGTGTTGTTGGCGAGGATACATTATTTACCGTATATACATGCGTGCACGCACACGCGTTTGACCGTCATCGTGCGACAGTTGGCCCTCGAAACATCGACGAGACGCATCGAGGACACGCATTAACGCGACTCTGTCTCTCTCTATCTCTGTTTCTCTCTCTCTCGACGCCATAATGCGCATCGCGTATGGGTTTTTCGCCCCGACACAATGCATTTGGGGGTTTCGACAATATGTTTGGGGCCGCCGAAACGAGGCAACGGATGGATGGATGGCTGGAACAATCGCGAGGGGGTAAAGCGAAGCGTCTCTAGCCCCCGGAGTAGTAGGGATATTCCACGGAGGGTTTGTTTAGGTTCCCGGGCGCGAAAGGCACTCAACCCGCTAATCTATTTAGCCATAGTGTTTGATATGGAATTAATGAGGCCCGGCCAGCCATTATGCCGCTCGGGGCCCGTAGATTTTCGATTTGAGCTGTGGAAATAAAAGGGTGGAAGGGGAAAAAAGGGGGAGAGGCCTGATGGTTACGATCGCGTTCGGCTTTTCAGAGTGCACATAACGGAGATAGTCTTCGGGTCTCTCTTACGACATGCCAGCTGCAACACTTTGTCTCGATATTTTGATGCTTCGAAAAATATGCTACTGTATTCAGCGAGATACATCTAATTTCGCACAATTTGAGTCTCAGAAGAATCGAAGAGCGAAACTCAGACATTTCATACATTAGATTTAATTAATAAATAAAATTAATGAATTAGATAATTGAAATAATTTTTTAAATTTTTTATTGAAAATTTGATAAATAATTAACATTTAATTTTAATTAGAAATTAAATAAACAAAAATAATATTTAGATACGAAAGAAGAATTTTAGAATTTAATCAAATTTCCTAATTTTAGTCAAAAAATTTTATTATAATATTTCAAATTTAATTCTGATTTTAATTAAAGAATATTTATAAATGTGTGATTGAGTTTTCAATTTATCCAATTAAGATAAAAATATTTATTTTAACATAAGGTATGAATAACTTAATGACATAATTTAAGAAAAAAATTTGCAAAATAATCTTCGACAATTCTATTAAATATAGCTAAAAGAAAACCATAAAAAATGAAAAAATGCATACTCTAACGGATCAGACGTCTCTGTTACAGTGTCCTGTGACAGTGAGCTCGTCGTTGGCGTCGTCCTCGGCCTCGCCGCCGACGGTCGCGATCTTGAGCGCGGGCGGGACGTCTCTGGTGAGCAGCGTAGCCGCCGGTACGACAACGAATCATCCCCTGGACGTAGCCGGCTTGTCGCAAGCGAGGATGGCGGTGACGAGCGCGATCGTGAGACCGCCGGGTAGTCCCACCGCTTCGGTCAGCCCTTCCCAAGGTCACCCGCCGCCGTCGGCCGGCGGTCCCGCCGCGGCCAGATGCTGCGACACCGGCCGACCCATCTTCACGGATCCGCTGACGGGCCAGACCGTCTGCTCGTGTCAGTACGAGCTGCTCGGCGGCTATCAGCGTCTAGGTGGTCTACCCACGGCCGCGCTCTCCATGTACAGCGCGCCGTACGCGGCCGCGGCTGCGGCCGCGGCCTCCGAGGGCATGGCCGCGTACTTTCCCAGCCTGGGCGCCGAGCAGGCACCCTTCTACACGCCTACGGTGAGTCGATTTTCGTTATTATAATGTAAGAGACGACACAAACGTCTATGGATATTAAGAATTTCTCGCTTAAAAACGAAGAAATAATTTACGAGATCCAACATCATAAGATCACATTACGGCGAATACTTTTATAAATTAAATATAACAAATCGTAACACGGATAAATTTCTAATAAATTCTTGACTCGATTCAACGGACTATTAGTAAGTTTAAGAATAGGATAATTTTTTTTGTAAGAATTATAAATTACGTAACACTGTTATACTGAGGAAGACCGCGTGCGGTTGAAACGTTTATATGGATGGTTTTTTGTCATTTTAATATATTGTTTATGAAATAAATTTTAATTGGATACAACATCTTAAATATTGCTCGATAAGTTGGCCTTTTTTTATTACATTTGTTGTTTTATATAATACACGAGCGAATAGAAATTTTAATTGATATTTCTTTATTATATTTTATGATCTTTTGGTAATTAGTAAACATGAACTTGATTGCGGACATGATTTTAAATAATCTGCTCCTCAAGTATTACGTAAAAAAACGTAAGGAAAAGGGAAATTGCTGAAATGTTCTTTATTAAGAAAATTGACAACACACTAAATTTATAAAAGGACACTGAAAATCTAAACAATAATTAGGTACGACAAAATAATAAAGGCAGCTTAGTAATGACGATGTGTTTTAACAGTAGAACAACAGTTTTACGAAATTTATGACAGCTGTAACGGAACTTAGGTAAACAGATAATAATTTTTTGTAATTTTTTTAGAGTCGATAATTTATTGATCTCCGAAAATACTAACCGATTGCGTTAATTATTGTCTATATTGTGTTTATGTATAGTACACTTGAGAAGGAACAAGACCCATGGTCGCAACGTTGCGTTGATGATTAATTGAATAAAGCATTGCCAGTGTGGTCGATTAAAAAACCTTTCTTTGATTTTATCTATTGGTGACTTTCATTAAATTTATTGAATCATTGAATTATTTTATTATGGTTACAAAAATTTCGGAGCTGTCAAATTATTCTACAAAAATCCCAATTTTTATTTTTTTTCTCTATAAAACGCGGAGAATTTTAATATCTCGTTTTTACACAACATCCTGCTTTAGATGTAGATCGAAATCATCTAGACAAAGATAAGATAAAATATAGGCAAATATATCTTAAATAAGAAATAAAGATGAGACAAAGATCTTGTTTTTTTATCTAGAAGAAAATTAAAGCTTATTAAGAATTTTGTTAGATTATAATATTATAATATATATAATAAAAATTTATACATCTAAATAATTTTAAGCAACTATTTCTACATAAATGCGAAATATTTAAGAGATGATTCTTTATCGAAAATTGCAGGAGGTTTTTCATATAAACTTACTCCTCCCTGAGGAGTAATATTTCTTTAAAGAAGGAGGTAAAAATTAGATTTTTAATTCTTTTTCTCAAATTTTGGACAAATTGAAAAATTTAGAAGACATTTTCTACTAGTAAAAAGTTATCTTTTCGTATCGTTATAAGAGAATGAAACTAACAACCCCTATTTAATTTTTTATTGAAATTACCAATTGAAATGTCATCATCTAAAAATATGCATTAGACAGCTTAATTTCCTTAGAAACTTTTTTTACTTTTATATTTTTTTTCGTAAAATCAATAATTTTCAAAACAAAATGGAATAAAAGGCAGAATAATTTTTAAGAACTCTTTTTAAGAACAGTAAGGAATATATGTTTATATGAAAAACCCCCTTTAATTTTTGACAAAGAATTATCTCATAAAACTTTTCGCACTTATTTAGAAACATTTTGTATATAATGTGCAGTTTTAAAGAACAAAATATAAGGTATAAAATAATATGCTTATATTTTTATTTACAAGTTTTTATTTCCTAGACACAAGGATTTTTTTAAACGTATTAAATTATAAATTATTTTATTAAATTGTAATCTATAGAAACAGTTATTAATTATTTCAGTTTGCTAAATATATTTTCTATCTCCACAATTAAACAGAGATAATGCTAGAGCACAGATATTTAAAAATTAAAATTTTTCTCTATAAATATGATAATTAAAGTTTTATAAAAAATATGTTTACACTTGATGTAGACTAAACTCATTATATAAACATTATCTTATATAATTTAAAAATATAATACTTGTTTATCTAAAGTAAGAAGTAATAATCTAGATATAGAGATGAAGCAATTTTTATTCAGATAATCCATTTGGATATTTTTATTTAGATAATATAAATTATTGTTTGTATTATACAGTTTTTATACGTTCAAAGTGTATGCCTTATAACTCAATTGTGATAAATGATAAATGCGACAGCATTCGATTCAACTAGTGAGATATTTTACATCCGGATACTTGGTCCATAGAATTCCTTCGCGATGTAGAGAGAGAAAGCGCGGTATGTTAACGGGCCTGAGAGAGAGATAATATCGGTGCACGATTGAAGTAATTCGTGAAACTAAGAGTATCGCGATTTTTACGATATCATTAATGATAACGTAACCCGGAAACTCTCTTTGAATTCTATATTCTTGAGTTAACTTTACATTTATGTATCGTATTAATAAGACAGTTAAAAGACGAGATTAGCAAATATCTCTCATAATATAACGTATTTATGATGTACCCTTCGCCCCCTTGTTCGTTCTCCATATTATATGTTTAAATATTCACGAGCAGAAATTCTAGTATATAACGATACCAGCAAATGGTCGAGATAATCGTGTAATAGGAAAAATTTTCCATTATCCAACTTATTTCTCCATAGGTAGCCAATGCAGCAAATTAATTTCACTTGCTCGCACATTTACTTGTATAATGAGTAGCAAATTCGGTTAAAATGCCCAACGGCGTATTTAGAAGCTTTAAAATGATGATAGATAAATATGTAACGTGTTTTGCACATTGAATATTTGGGAAAAAAGGAATCATTTTTGCTTTAACGTTTTTAACATTTGTAATCAAGATAATATTAAATAAGCCGTGTCAGAAATTTATTAGTTAATAATATATTAAATTTAATTTAATATATATGTATTAAAATTAGAAAAAAAATTTTTAAAGTGAATCGACTAATTTGCATCATTGTTATGCCATTTTACTCTTATAACTTTTTATAGTGGATATTGGGATAAATCGATTTATATAAAAAATTAAGGTAGTTCTATTTAAAAGAAATATAAATAATCTCCAAATTGAAAAATCACTTTTTAGAAAAAGTTAGTAGCTCCAACTTCTTTTCCTCTTGAAATCCTACGTCTGAAACATTTTTCTCTACTTAAATGTATTGTTAGATATTTACGGTTGTTTAAAATGAGACACCCCGTATATTTGTGTGTTATTATGTTAATATTTTTACGCTATATTCCTTATGTAAATGTTACGTTCTTGTTTTACGTTGTATGTAAGAGAGTACCTTTTATACCTCCGGATAAGAGGAGTTGCAACACGAGGTTTTCGGATACCACTTCGGGATGCTACTCGCATTCGACGTAAAGTGCAAGAGGTTAATGTGTCTGAACGAATCCGTTGGAACCTCGAGAGATGCGAGAGACTTCTATCTTCGCTTCCGCGTTCCTATACCGCGTTGCTACCGAAACGGTTTCGATTGCGGCTCTCCAATATCGATAAACGACTATCGCCGAGTCGGCAATAGTAGCGGCATTATATTCGACCGTAAAATTTTTATCGCGCGGATTAAATCCCGCGTGGCGAACTTCTATATTTTTGTATCACCGAGCGCGCGCGGATTAAATCTTGATACGCGCGAGAATCTTTATATTCATGATTCTCGATTCGCGAATGCTCGCGCAAAGTGTGCTCGTGTGTTTATTTAGGAGATGAATCTCTATTCGGATTTTTCACCAAAGTCACGTCGAAATCTTTTCCAATGTGATTTGCAACCGATTTTCATCGCTTGTTTCTTGCAACGTTGATTTGCGATATAAACGATATACAGGGTATTCGTTAATAAATAATCGTCGCGTATTTCGTGTTTCGTTGGTAGATCAGGTTAAATTGAATAGAAAAGTTCTTTACCGTTTTGCAATCTTCACAATAATTAATGAGAAATCAATTGAAGAAGATCGACCAATCAGCGCAGATAAAGTGGGAGGAGCATTCTACAAATAGCGCGCGGATTGGTCGATCTTCTTTCATTAATTTCTCATTAATTATTGCAAAGATCGCGAACCGATAAAGAACTTTTCTACTTGGTTTAACCTGCTGCATCTGTGTATACGAAAGATGTGGCAATTATTACTAGACACCCTGTAGAATCCTGTAAAAGAGATCGTGTCTGTTCCTTCATCGTGTCACACACGAAGAAAATAACGGCGAAGCGTAAATTTATGAATTTATGGATTTTGTCTTGTTGTAAAGACTGTCGTGTGCCGTGATAACCGAGTAAGACCGAGTACTGTTATCGTCGCTCTTTATGATCGAGCTTAAGGAGCGAGTATATAGCGAGTGTAGTGTCTGCCCGTAACGAGGCAGCAGATTGTACAGGTTATGAGTGATTTCGCATAGGTAACGTTCGTGATAATCCTCTATATAAAGCCCATCAAACGTTACTTTTTAGTGAAAACAATTGCTTCCGCTTGTAGCAATTATTTTGAGCGTGAGTATGTAAGTTTACATCGCGTTTAACTCCTGTCATCAATATTTTCAAAATATCGTTTATTTTTCAGCGTTTCGTAATAATGAAGATTAGTAAAAATATAATTAAAATATATTATTGTATATATAATAAGTGCGCATAATTACACGAAAGAGAAAGACAAGGGAAGGGAGGAAGAAAGAAGCAGTAACACAGTGAGTCCTTTATAAACCTATTATCCCCGCAAGATGAAATACAGCAGAAATTTAATGGCGACCGCCTCCTGTCGTATAATCGAGGTCGCGAGGTTAGAGAAGCAAACAAGAGAGCCACACACATCGATCCTAATTATTATTATCAGCGCTCTGCCAGCTATTCTTTCATCATTGTGGTCGATCCAATCGGGAAATCGGGCTCTGCTGGCGATACGGATTAATTGCTCGCGTTCCTAAAAATGGATCTCTATCTTTCTCTCTCGGGCAATTAACCGCATTTTGCGCGATTCCATTTCAAAAAATCGCGATAATTAATGATCGGCGAACGTGCACACGTTCTCCAATGTGGGAAGCATTCGCAAATGTTATCGATGCCACACGCAAGGATGTGTGTATAAATTATTATTAGACAAACACATTTTTATATTGAAATTACATTACATTTATGCTTTTTGTGTTTTTTAATAATAAGATAAAATGTCTTTATAATTTTTATATATTTCTTTAAAATTTTTTTATAATTTTTTCGCCTAAAGATTAACAAACATTTTTTTAAAATGGAAATCTATATTGCATCAGCAAATAATTCCATGATGTTGGCGTAATATCGCTGATATTGATAGGTTTTATAGTGTTTTTTTTTTGGTACAAACTCGAATAATTGTGTACATACACTATGCGCAATAATTAATCCTATTTTAATTGAATGACAATTGTTGTTTGACAACACAGAGTTTCCGAACAATCATCAAAATTTTGTCGTTTAGGAAAAAAAAGTGATTTATTTATTAAATATTAAAATATAATTTTGAGTATTTCGTATATTAAGTATATAATTAAGATTATTTGAAACAAACTTAAATGAATCATTAAAACAGTGGAAACGTTTAAGTCTAATGTAACAGATTATATTTAGAACAGATTATGATCAGAAATACACTTGATGCAGAATACAAATTACTTTAAAAAAACTAGATGACATAAAAAGAGTTGCATCTTTTAACAAGTCATCAAGTGTCATACGATCGTTTTTGCAACAAATTATCGTGCAAATAACGCTGAGGTAAAAGATAGCAATCTATCTTGTTTTTTTTTTTTCGATCGAGCTAGATATGCTTGGATGATTCCTTCCACATTTAGATATGTATATTGCAATTACAAAAACGTGCGCGCACAAATAGGTGTAGTATCATCGATATCGCTAATTGATCGCTAATTGCCGTTTTTTATTTCACCTCGTTTCTTGTCTTCTCCGCGTTATACATCGAACTATCGCGGAATATCGAATATTCCGATGCTTATCCGTTCGTTCACGTCCTTGTTACAGCCTGCTGGTCTGGATCTCAAAGAGAATCTCGGCGCTGGAGCTGCGACTGCGTGGCCTTATCCTTCGGTGTATCACCCTTACGATGCTGCTTTCGCGAGTTACCCCTTCAACGGGTGAGTCTTGTGTAACCATATTTTTCGAACTACCTTTTATCGTCCGAGTTGTGAGTGTTGAGAGTTTAGCGTGTGGCTTAATAATTAATTATTAAAATCTGCAAAATAATCAAATATGTATGTATATCATCTGTCAAGAAAGTGAAGAAATATCTGTCAAGAAATATTCATGAGAGGGTGAAAGTAAGCTTGAAATAACCCATCACGCGTGTCACCTTGTATAGGTCAGGTTAGATATGTAGGTGTTTGTGTGTTCGGTAACTTTCATAAGTTGATAAAAATATTCCTTCGGCAGATCCTCGCGAGAGATACGAGGAAAGTGCCACCACGCACTCATTATAATTTTATTCATCTTCTTATCGGAGCGCTGAAAACCTTTATAGAGAGCAGACGCGACGCGATAACTGTTTTTAATGTCGACGGAACAATGTTTTACAAATGGAGCAACTGGCGAAACGTTCCTCGCGGAGGAACAAATCTTAATTAACCTCCCGTAATCTCTGTAACACTGCGTATATTTTCAACGCTGACGCGTTTTAATGCGTTTTTCCATTGCGAGAGCGAGAGACACGATCAGGTTTACATACATTTACGTTGGTTCTCTCTTCTCTCTCTCTCTCGCTCCTCTTCTACGATATAAACTCTTCGTGCACGAACGGAGAGATAAGGCGGCGAGAGAAACACATAAACATTCCAATAAATTAGCGCTTAACTGACCCGGGACTGTCGCCACGATGCTTTTTCCTCGCGTGCATTCGAAATCGGTCGCGACATATGTCGCGGTGACGCGACCGGTGAAAGGTCTCTCCTTGATAAGTACGATCCAACACTGCAACACGACGAAGATTAAAATTCGGAGAACCCGGGCGAGCAAAATTAATTGACGCGCGTAGAACCATATGATAATTAGTCCACGTTTCGAAGATTCTCGTCCGATTGTGCGATTCGATCGAGATTTTTGACAAGTCCCGATAATATTTTTTACGTCATTTCTTCTCTTAGCAAACCTTGACTCGTGTATTTCGATGATAATTATTCATAAATTTCTCTTATTAATTTATAAATATATTATTATAAATTATTATTAACATAAGTTATTATAGTAAATTATTCTAATAAATTCTAATAATTATTTATATAAATATTACTCTAAATATTATTATTAAATTCTTTCAATACTTTATAAAGAAATAAGTAAAAATTATTAAAATATTATTAATAAATAATTTAACTAGTGGTTTGAATGCGCTCCTACATTTATGAAGCATTTATGTAGAGAATATGTTGGTGTCACTTTGATGTCATGACAAATGCCGAATGATGACCGATGAAAATCTATTTCGAGGGGACCGAAAATCGGTAAGAGGCTCCGAGAACGCTCTCTTTCAGGCGTTTTATCTTTCACGCTCAATATCTAACGAATGCAAAATGCGACGCGTGTCACAACAAACTTGATAAAGATTCAATTCGTAGCGCTCATTACGTCAATGCCGTTGCGATCGATACACTTAATAAAATTTTCTCCGATACACTGAGCGCGATTGCGTTGGAAAAATAAATATATGTAACAAGCGAACGTGTATGTAATTCGCGAGGGAGGGAAGACCGTGTTCCTCTAAAGGCGAAGCGACGATGAGTTGACAACAGTGACGATCTATGCGTGGAATCTATACTGCCTATACTGTCGTGCGTGACGCACTTCCGGTGGCGGTCGCTGCTTTATATGCAAGGAAGCGATCGGGTAATACAGCTTGCTTAGCATCCATTCGCTCTAGTCGCGACTGAGAGATCGAGGTCCTCCCTTTGCGGGGACCCACCGCGCCGGGTTCTCGCGGGGTCCACGTTCGCACCGGAAACACATACACGCGCTATTAACGAGCGATGTAGAGAGAGAGAGAGAGAGAGATTGTGCACCTGCGCCAGCCAGATCGAGGGCGATTCGAAGAAAAATTTTTGTACCTACTTTTTTTCCAAGGATGACGTTCAGGTGAGCATTGTAGATACAATTCATTTCTCATTAAAATTAAATAGAATTAATCAATATTATAATTAATAATTATATATATTGTAATCATTTTTATTAACAATTTTATATATATATAATATATATATATAATAATTATTTTAATTAATAGATATAATCGCTAAGTTACACTTTTTTTTTTAAATAAAAATTAGATTTTATTTTCTTGAAAACTATTGATTTTATGAAAACAATATAAGAAATAAAAAAGTCAGAGGTCAAGAAATCAAGCAATGCATATTTTTAGATGATCACATTCTGATAGGTTAAAAAGTTTTAATAAAAAATCGAATAGGGGCTGTTGGTTTCATTCCTTTTTAATGATATAAGAAGAAAAAAATTGTAATAAACTTTTTTTACTAGTGGAAAATATCTACCAAATTTCATTTTTTTAATATGTCTAAAATTTAAGAAAAAAAAATAAAACTTAGTTTTCTTCTCGCTTTGGAGGAATGTACTGTTTAGGACAGGATATAGGGAGGAGCATATACATGTTTAAATGAAAAATCCTCCTTAATTTTTGACAAAGAATTATTTTCTAAAGTTTTTGCACTTATTTATAAAAATATTCTGTATTTAATAATTATTTTAATTAATAATTATATGTATATGAATAAAATTATTGAAAAATTTAGTAATTATATAATAATTATAAATTAAATTCTTGCCAGAATAAATTGATTTTTCATAAAATATTACGCGCTTATTCTAGTTACAACGTGTTTTGTGCAAAATGTTTCGCGTTTTCGCGACACGCCCTGTTATTTCATGTATCTCTTCAAGGTGAATGAATTCGCATGACGAATCAACAAACAAGTAGGATTTCTTCAAGCTGCGTGCGTTATAGATCAAAATTATGCATGCCAGCATAAAAATATAAGAAACTTTTCCTTGTATGTGTACAAAGAAAAAATACATAAATGCTAAAAATGATAGTATATCATCGCTCGAGTGTCATTCGTTATCGACGCATCTTTTAAAGGTATTCAAATATTCCTCGCAGTCGTATTTTCACCAGAAGCGAAAGTTAATTTTTAACTTTAAAATTAGTATTATTTCTGTGTTTTATAATTTTTTCATAAATACTTTTTCACCATCTTGCACACTAGGTAGTACGCTGGTTTTCTTCCTTTCATAGTTCCTTGTCACGCACAGCACTGTCTCTCTCTCTCTCTTTCTTTACATCTTACAACGAGCTCAAACGCGAGCAAGAAATTATTACGCAGTCTATATCGTGTTCGTCGAATGTAAAGCGTGTATTTTATATACACATATAATTAATTTTCTCTCTCCTTACAATTATTATTAATTATAAGGGTATACACGCGCTGCAGAGAGTTTTCGTACTCATTTTTATTACGCAGAAAAGAAAACAGCATGGCTTTACATAAAACAGCCATATCGTTCATTCTCATCTCTCGTTAAATTAGTTCTGACACGAGTCGTCGCGATTTATTATTAATCCCACGTCATGCGAAGAGGACGGCGGAAGAATACGTATTCACGACGCAGAATTTCGGTAACGTCTCGCCGAGCCCGGAACTATCGGCCGAATCGGAACCCGGAGGTGCAAAGGATCCCCGACATTATGCACGAGCGTGCGCGACGACCACTTAACATGAGCATACAAAAAGCCAATAATGCAGCGTTGGCATGCACGGCCGCGAGGTCTCGGGATCGTGCGGGTTAACGGTCCCGTCTTTCCGGCGGATTGGTCCCGCTTCCGGAGACATATAGGGTAGACAATAAGAAGGCGGCGATATTGCGCGAGGCCTCTCTCTCTTTCTGTTTTTCTCTATCTCTTTCTCTCGCATTGACAGGAGGCCGCGCGCGAGAGCTCTTCATGTCCGGCGTCATACGTGTTTTATATTAAGCACGGTGTTTGTGCAACGACACGCCGCGATGTTTACGACACGTGCATCCTAATGCGGGAAATTCAGTTAGATGATACGCATCAGTCATCGGGGATCGATGATTCGCCCTCCGAGGAGCCGCGAAATCGATGAGATTTTTGATACAGTTCTATATTTCTCGATAAATACGACGTTTGTGTTACACAAGTTATTCAGGGAGATTATGCAAAATGATTATTCATTCAGAAAGACAATCGACTCTTAATGTTGCTCGTGTAATTACAGAGTAGAAACATTTGTTTTCTTCGTGAAAACGGTGCCCGTTTACATTTTTGGGTTAAATATTTAACATATTCATGGGTTAATTTAACATATAACTGTTTTGTTAATTGAACTTAAATGTTAAATTATTAAAACAACTGAAAAAAGTAAAAATAACACAATGTGTATCTATTTTACACGATAAATATGTTCTGCTTTATTAGTGACAAGATTTATTTCCTGTTAAAATTTACAGAAAAAAAAATGTTGATTTTTTATTGTATAATATAAGTAGGGATGATAAAATTGAGAATTAACATATTTTTTGTTAATTTTCACATTAAAAGTATATTAATTTTACACAAAATTTATTTTAAATTATTTGAAGTTTTGCATTTGTTTTGTGTTAAAATATTAACACAATATTTGTGTCTTTATTTGACATATTCACATTATGTTAAATTAACACAAAAAATGTGGACTGTTTGGGACATGTGATATTTATTAAGAAATTTTTCAACTGTGTAACAAGTGAACCCAAAAACTCTGATTTTGATTAAATTTACACACATTCTATAAAAAGATAAATTTTGAAATTTGTAATTGCTGCCCAAAAATAATTTTACGGAATGAAAGCGTCCTTCATATGTAGAGTGATTTTCTCGATGTTTCTCAAAAAATATTTAAGATATCAAAAATGTTTTATAAGAAATTTTCATGATAAAAACACCTAATCTAATCATATTAATAAAATTTTGATAACAAAATAATTCTTTTCAAAGATTCAAATTTTTTTCAAAAATTTTTTTTTAAATTTTATTAATGTAACTGAATATAGATATTTTTATAATGAAATTTTTGTA